GCCTTAGGCTGGCTCCCTGGTCACCAGGGGCTGACTTCCCTGGTCACCAAGACACTGCATGCATGCTTGGATTACCTCCACCTTTTCTGTAAATTGTACTGAAACATCTACTTAAGTTCTTTTCTTAGTATCATTCCTTCAAATAAATTGGTACACCCCCTCCCAAAAAAAAAAAACCAGTATATAACCACCAAGCTAATGCAGAGGGAAAATGAATTTTAAAAATTACACAATTTCAAAGAAGTCATAAAACAAGTAAAAAGGGTGACATAAGGGGCCAAAGAACACCTGAGTCAAACAGAAAACAAGCAGTGGGATAGGCTTGTAGTTTGTTTTTTTTGACAATTCCTCCCCACTGCCCCTAGGTGTTTATTAACAGCTGCACACTGTTAACCAAAAAGTATACAGTCACTTTAATCTTTTCACTAAATTTAAACAAAAATATTATATATTCAGGTTAAACTCAAGCGATCATTTAACACTAAATACTTTACTTAGAATCTTAATTTTTGCTCACAGCAAATGTAACTTAAAGGATCAGGATAAAATGTAAAATAACTATAAACTTAATCTCACACAATCTACAACTGTGTCTTTAAAAAACAAACATATTTAAAATGCTGTTTTAGAATTTAGATCACTGGAAATTTTATTGCTGCGATAGTGTATTACTATATAAAGAGATTTACTTACTGCTTAAGTCTCTTTATTAATATAGAAAGAAATTTAGTTACTGAATCAAACAAGGACTATTTTACAAGAAAATTTCATTTTAATCAAAACTTGAAACCACCAGGTAAGCCAGCTTCATCATATCCATTTTAACTGAGATGAATAACAAAAAATAAAATAGACCCTAAGCGATAGCTTGAACCACAGAAGGATCAGTTTTGACCTCCTGGCCTGTTAAGGAATTCTTCTGAAAAACCAGTGCCATTACTAAAAAAGAGAAACAAAAAAGAGAGAGAGAGAGATCTAAACAATTTTATTATGTTGAGCTGTTGTAGTGTAAGCCTTTAATGCACACTGACTCATTTTATATTTGGTAATAAATTGCTAAGCTCCAAAAGAGTGTATTTGTACTTACACACAAATACAACATTATATTTTATCTTAATAATTTATTGGTAGCAGAAAAGAGTCTAGGTTTTGAACCTGCTATTGACTAGCACAGATTCTTCCAAAACAGAGCACTCTCTCTGCCCCACTTGGCAGCCAAATTATTTCAAAACTTAGGGGTCCTACCCATGACTCCCGCTACCATATTTAGCAGTGGAGAAATGGTTAAGCTCATTTAACAACCTCCAGAATCAATTTTCAACTCTTTCCCCATGAAAGTATGACTAAATTCGATCAGATGAAAAGATGATAAGACAAAACCTAAATGTCCATCAACATGTGAATGGATAGAGAAGATATGGTACACAAATATATATACACATACATACGTATGATGGAATATTAGTCAGCCAAGAAATGAATGATAATGAGATTTGCAGCAACACGCATATAACTAGAGAATCATAATAAGTGAAGAATTAATAAGTCAGAGAGACAAATACCATATGATCTATCACTTATATGTAGAATTTTAAAAATGATACAAATGAAATTATTTACAAAACAAATAAGACTCATAGACATAGAAAACAATTTTACAGATACCAAAGGAAAAGTGGAGCAGCATAAATTAGGAACTTGGAGTTAATAGATACACACTACTATATATAAAATAGATAAACAAGGTCCTACTATATAGCGCAGGGAGCCATAATCAATACCTTGTAATAACCTATAGTGGAAAAGAATACAAAAAAAGAATATGTATGTATATAACTGAATCACTCTTCTGCACACTTGTAAGTAAACATTATACATTATAGTTCAATTTAAAAAAGGTAAAACACAAACAGGAATAATATCCAGCTATCAGCACTAAGACCAAACTTTATCGACATCCATCTTAACTGTCATTATGTTGAAATTCACATAAAAAAGATTAGCATTGCACTACAATGTGCCAATCATTGTTTTGAACCCTGAAAAGTGCTAAGAAGGAGTTCATGGTCCCCATATACTTGAGATGTTTATGCTCTAGAAGGGTAAACCTCTATTCTTTTGTTCATTCAACAAGAATTCATTGGCCATCACAAACATTGGACATTTTGTTCATTGCTGAGAATTTTGTGGTGGAATTTTTCCTTACTTTTATGATGCTTACAGTCAGGTATGGAATTAAACATAAAATGATAACAAAAATAAGTATAGTAATTCATATTATAGTGAACAGTGCACTGTGAAATGTAAGATAACAGGAAATGCTTGGCTTGAGAGTCTGAGAAAGTAAAATCTGCGTTAAGATCTCAAGGTTAATTAGCTGAAAATAATCTATCAGAAAGGTAAACAGATAAAGGCCCTGTTTCCAGAGGAAAGATGATTGGAAAACTCAAAGAAGGACACAGTGGCAAGGATAAGAAGACAGCTTAAGACAATGCTTCACAGCTGCCATGAAAATATCATCTGAGCCTTCCAAGAATACATTAAAGGTTTTGCTTGCTATTCACTCTTAAAAGCAATGAGAATTCACAGAAGGTTGTGAAACAAGAGAACAGCATGATACCATTTGAAACAGAGAATATCTCTCAACTAGCTGCAGAAACAATGGGTTGAAGGATGACAAGACTCCAGCAGTGCACTGGAAAGAAAATGCCACTTTAAAATCCATAGCAGCAGTAAGTTGGAAAAGCAGATGGATCTGAGAGACATTCAAGAGGTAAAAACTGCAGGACTTAGTGACACCCTGGATATGACAGAAAAAAAGGAAATGGACTCTTGGTTTGTGCTTCCAGGGCAGCATGAATTGTGATGGCATTCTCTGTGTTAGGAAATTGTAGAAAAGGGCTGCAGTTGGAAGAGAAAGAATGTGAATCTGATTTTGCAAATGTTGAGTCTGAATTGCTTTTGAGATACTCAAGTGATGATGTCAGGTGAGCAGATGGACGTCAGGACTGGAGTTTAAGAGACAGAAGGGACTACTAATCTGGAAGATACAGATATACTAATAGTGTCAGATACTGTTAGTGTGGGTAAAAAGTCATGAGAAATCTGAATATCTACCAGACAGACAGAGGCCTCTGAGCCAGTCTGGTTCCAGCCTGAGGAACCCAGAGCAAGAGGGCTGAAAGCAGTAAGGATGTTAAAAGGAGAAGCCAGGGAAGGAGGCAAATTGCAGAGTGAAGTGTCAGATATCACTGGGAATTCAACAGGACAAGACCTACATTACAATTCCACAATATTGGAACCACAACAGAATTATGCAAAAAGTGCCACAAGAGCACAGAAAAAGGATACTGACTCTAGAAAGAGAAAAGAATTGATCAAAAGACGTGATCTTTAAGCTGAGGAATGAATAGGAGTTTCTCAAGCAAATCAGTCCAGGGATAAAAAGGCAATGTTTAGAGAAGGTACAGCAATTTCTCAAAAAGGAAACAAAGCATTTTCATTAGGCTGATGAATATCCCAAAACCCTATTTCCTACATTCCTAGATCAGTCATTCTAGCCATTTTCAATTATCCTGCTTCCACATCCTAAAAGGGGAAAGCAGACATCCTTACCCAGCAGTCTAGCCTCTGTCATGGTCCCCAAACCCACAAAATCAGAATATGGGGTGGGAGAAGAGAAAAATAATATTAACATGGCAACAGAAGTCACATAAAGTCTCACACTTTTTGACTGAAATGTAAGGATTTCTGATTCTGTAACAGTTAATATGAATGTTTAAAGTTATAATACAAAGATCAAAGGAGAAGACCAAAAAATTGAATAGAAGACATACAAACATACGGGAAGACAAAGACTAATTTTCCTTCTCTTGCATTGTCAGCAACAGTCTTTGAGTTAGATGACCTCGGACATCTTTCAGGTAATGAGAAATCTTTGAAGGAATCCACGAATGCTGAACTCCAGTCTGTAGAACTAAGGTTACAATGTCACATGGTGATACATTGAAGATACACCTTGAATGTAAAACGATAGGAAAACGGAGCCTAATATCAGTATTAGAATAGTTGATTGGCTGATTCATTTCAATGTATGGCAAACACCGCTACAATATTTTTTTTAAGAAAAAAAATTTTTTTTAAAAAGACACAAACTCAAATTATGCTTACCCGCTAAACTGTTATATTTAATACAAGTTTGTATTTTGTACATAGATGTATAAAGAATAAATATTTTGCATCCAGCAAAATTTGAAAAATTAATAACTAAACCCTCATAGTTTCCTTCCCTTTTCCCACGTTTCAAAATTCACTTAAAAACCACCACTGTTATTTCTCTGTGAAACTTCAAATTGTAAGCTCTTTTAAGAGAAAATCAATCTCTTTACATAGATTTTCTTCATTTACTTGCCATTTCCGGTTGAGAGTGCATTAAATTGCAGGCATGTGGCTTCTTTTCACCGGCCCTCATAGCTGTCTTCAAATGGGATTTCAGGCATCACATGGGAATACATTTTGCTCTGAAATCCTTCTGCTATTTACCATCTTCCCCCAGGTTGTTCAAGCGTGTTCAAGCATAAATACATTACAGATAAGGAATGATTTCACCCCACCCTGTTCTCCTAGCCTTCTGTGTTGGCTTCCTTCCGTTTTTCTGCCTCACATTTCGACAAATTCTTCGCCTCTGTCACACAATAATAATAAGAGAATTGAAAGGAGAGACGCTGTCCTCAGCCAAGTGCTGCCTATCACATGAAGCATCCTTTCCCAGGGAAACGCAGAGAAGGAACACTTTCCTTCAGACCGCCTGCACGCGGCCAAGGCGGGTAATTTTAAGGGTCTCCCCGAGGGGCGGGTCCGCAGGTTCACCCGCGGAGACGGTGGGAACCCTTTTCAGAGGAGAGGCCTTCACGCCGCAGAACCGCCGCAGGAAGGGCCCGGGGTGGGGAGGCGCCGCGGCGGCGGGAGAGGAGGGGACGCCCCGGGCCGCGAGATGGTACCTGCGCGGGCTCGAGCGCCCCTGCCACTGAATCCCCGATCCAGAGATGCTCGCGCAGCAGCTGCTGGTAGCTGAGGCACTGCTTCACCGCGCAGGGCACGTTCCCCATGGCGGGGCCCGGGCGGCCCGGGGAGAGGGGAGCGAGCAGGCAGGGGGCGAGGGACGGGCCCGGTGCCCAGGGACGCTCCGCGTGCGGGCCTCCGAGCGCCTCCCGCGCGCGCTCTGCGCACTGCGGCGGCGCCGCGCGGGACGCCGACGGGCACCTGCGCACACGCGGTCCACCCCGCGCCCCGGGCCCGCCAGTCACAGCCCGGCGCGCGCGTTCCGCACTGTGCGCGCACTCGGGGCTGAGAGCCTTGGCACACACACACTGGCTTCTCTTCGGGTTCGGACCCCACCGAAAAGGCAAGGGTTAGTTCTCCACCAAAGGAAGAGCATCTGTGTTTTCTTTGGGGAGTTTGCTCATGCCCACGTATGATTTTTTCCTGCCCTGTGTAGACTTGCCTGGCCTTGAACTCACCTGAGTTTGTCTTCATGAGAATAAGCTTGACAGATGCACACTGCTATGTTTAAAACAGATAATCAACAATGACCACCTGTATAGCACAGTAAGCTTTGCCCAATGTTTTGTAATAACCTGAATGGGAAAAGAACTGGAAAAAAAAGAATAGATGCCCGTATATGGATAACTTTGCTGTACCAATGAAACTAACGCAACATTGTTAATCAACTCTATTACTAAAATACAAATTTAAAAATAAAGATATCAGCCATATTGCTAATGAGCCTCCCTTTAACTTGATTACCTCTATAAAACTATCTCTAGAAATAAGAGCACATTCTGAGATACCAGTTCAGGTCAGTTCAGTCGCTCAGTCCTGTCTGACTCTTTGCAACCCTGTGGACTGCAGCACAACAGGCCTCCCTGTCCATCACCAAATCACGGTGCTTATTCAGATTTGTATCCATCAAGTCAGTGATGCCATCCAACCACCTCATCCTCTGTTGTCCTCTTCTCCTCCCGCCTTCAATCTTTCCCAGCATCAGGGTTTTTTCCAATGAGTCAGTTCTTCGCATCAGTTGGCCAAAGTATTGGAGTTTCAGATTCAGCATCAGTTCTTCCAATGAATATTCAAGACTAATTTCCTTTACGATGGAGTGGTTGGGTCTCCTTGCCCTCCAAGAGACTCTCAAGAGTCTTCTCCAACACCACAGTTCAAAAGCATCAATTCTTTGGTGTTCAGCTCTCTTCACAGTCCAACACTTACATCCTACATAATCACTGGAAAAACCATAGCCTTGACTAGTCAGACCTTTGTTGGCAAAGTAATGTCTCTGCTTTTTAATATGCTGTCTAGGTTGGTCAGAACTTTTCCAAGGAGCAAACGTCTTTTAATTTCATGGCTGCAATCACCATCTGCAGTTGGAGCCCAAAAAAGTAAAGTCTCTTACTATTTCCATTGTTTCCCCATCTGTTTGCCATGAAATGATGGGACCAGAGGCCATGATCTTAGTATTTTGAATGTTGAGTTTTAAGCCAACTTTTTCATTCTCCTCTTTCACTTTCATCAAGAGACTCTTTAGTTCTTCCTCACTTTCTGCCATAAGGGTGGTGTCATCTGCATATCTGAGGTTATTGATATTTCTCCAAGCAGTCTTGATTCCAGCTTGTACTTCATCCAGCCCAGCATTTAGCATTTTATACTCTGCATAGAAGTTAAATAAGCAGGGTGACAGTATACAGCTTTGACGTACTCTTTTCCCGATTTGGAACCAGTGTGTTGTTCCATGTCCAGTTCTAACTGTTGCTTCTTGATCTGTAATAGATTTCTCAGGAGGCATGTCAGGTGGTCTGGTATTCCCATCTCTTTCAGAATTTTCCACAGTTTGTTGTGATTCACACAGTCAAAGGCTTTGGCATAGTCAATAAAACAGAAGTAGATGTTTTTCTGGAACTCTCTTCCTTTTTTGATGATCCAGTGGATGCTGGAAACTTAATCTCTGGTTCCTCTGCATTTTCTAAATCCAGCTTGAACATATGGAAGTTTACAGTTCATGTACTTTTGGAGTCTGGCTTGGAGGATTTTGAGCATTACTTTGCTAGCATGTGAGATGAGTACAATTGTGCCGTAGTTTGAGCACTCTTTGGCACTGCCTTTCTTTGGAATGGGAATGAAAACTGACCTTTTCCAGTCCTGTGGCCACTGCTGAGTTTTCCAAATTTGCTGGCATATTGAGTGCAGCACTTTCACAGCATCATCTTTCAGGATTTGAAATAGCTCAACTGGAATTCCATCACCTCCATTAGTTTTGTTCATAGTGATGCTTCCTAAGGCTCACTTGACTTCACATTCCAGGATGTCTGGCTCTACATGAGTGATCACACCACATGGTTATCTGGGTCATGAGGGTCTTTTTTTGTATAGTTCTTCTGAGATACCAGAGGATAGGCTTTCAACATGTGAATTTGGAAAGGGGGAACATCTTGTAACCCATGGATTCTCCACTTTTGTCATCCTCTCTTCTCTGCCAATTGTCATTAGTCTTTTCCTGAACTGTTTGAGAGCAGTAATAGATATGACCTCCACTCCCAACGATGCCTTAATTCGCCAGTGTGTGTTCCCCCCAGGCAAAGACAGTCTCCTACATCATCACCAAACAAGCCTCCAGAACAGAAAATCACCCTTGGTATAGTGCTACCATCCAATCCACATACCCCCCCAAATTTCACCAACTGTCTCAACGATGTCCCATTTGAAAAAAGAAAAAAAATATTTTTAAATATTATGAGAGCAACTTGGAACTATGCTTAATATTATTGCATGCCCTGTAAAAGAAAAGAATCTGAAAAAGTATATGTATGTATATGTTTATATATATATATATACACACACACATATATATATAAACATACACACATATTTGTATATATATACATATATACACACACACACACACACACACACACATATATATATATATAAACATACACACATATTTGGGCTTCCCTGTTGGCTCAGAGGGTAAAGAATCTACCTTCAATGCAGGAGAAACAGGTTCCATACCTCGGTCAGGAAGATTCCCCTGGAGAAGGGAACGCCTACCCACTCCAGTATTCTTGCCCAGAGAATTCCATGGACAGAGGAGCCTAGTGGGCTACAGTCCATGGAGTTGCAAAGAGTCAGACACAACTGAGTGACTAACACACACACACACACACATATATACTTGTATTATAACTCAGCCAATACATATATATTGCATATGTAGTAAAAAAAAAAAAAAACTTCTGTTTTTTCTTTACTTCTTTTCTTTTTGCTTCTAATATTAAGTTTTCATATATTGAAAAAAAAAATGATGCAGATCCAGAATCTTTACATGCAAGAATTCTTCATGTCCTTTTTTGTTTCCTTGTAAGGGCACCACCTTAGTTACTTCTGCAATGGTTTCACTTCATATAGAATTATTATAATGATTATGTCAATCTATGGCATATGCTAAAATAAATTTTTTGGAGCATTAAACAAATATGAATCATTTTGCTGTACACCTGAAACTGACGCAACAATGTCAATCAGCTATCCTTCAACTGAAAACTTACAGAATATGAACAGGAAATATTCTAAGGCAAGTTGCAAGGTTACAACCCTTATGTGCAGTGGTCTAATAAAGAAGAAAAGATAGAAGGTGGTCGATTAGGGGAGATGTCACAGGTAATTTGGCATGTCAGTCAGCTGACAGTAAGTGGGTAATACAGGTTAAGCTCTGACATAGAGTTGAGTTGCTTAAAGAGATGCAGGGCGATCTGTTTCACTATAGCTAATATACATGTTCGGATGCTGTTCTCTTGAAACATCCCATAGCCTCCAACTAATAAAAATAAGTGAAAAAAAAAAAGATTCAGGGCACAGAATTACTGAAGCCATAAAGGCTAAAGTCATTCAAATGAAAGTTGTGAACACATTCGTATGTCATTAGAATAGGACTGGTCTTGGGTAGTGAAGGGTTGGGGAGATGGTCCTGGAGGAGACCACCTCTCTCCCTCCCAGTCTTTCACAAGCACAGATACACAGACACACTCTGAGACTCTTCAGCAGGATTTCAGCACCTGCATTTGAATGGACAGCCATCAGGAATAGTCTGGGGTTGCCAACTGGCCTGGCCAGGGGCACCAGTCAGCTCCACTGGCTTCTGCAGCAAACACTATTACACACCAAAGGATTCAAAGGCTATTTGTACAATATAGTATAAACACACTTAAGGAATTTAACACACAGAATAAGCAAGTCATCATTCACGCTTCTGAGAGTGGTGAGACTTCCACTAGTAACAGAAATAAAACAGTTAAGGATAGAACAAGGCAAAGAGGGGGAGAAGGAGCTTTTGGATCCTTATTGGAACAGGACTGGAGGGGCAAAGAGGATGAAGGGAACTCTCGTCACTTTGATCAAGGTTGATTAACATGGAGAACATGATCAGAACTGCCAAAGTGAGGTCATGCAATTCTTGAAAGCCTCTAAAACTCTCTAATGCAGAAGACTGTAAATAGAACCACCATAAGACCAATCAACCCCACTACTGTGTATATTCCATAATTCAAAAAGACTCATGTACCCTAATGGTCATATCAGAACTATTTACAATAGCCAGGACATGGAAGCAGCCTAAATCTCCATCAACAGGGGAATGGATAAAGAAGATGTGGTACATATACACAATGGAATATTGTTGCTTAATCGTTATCTACTACCCTTTTGCGACTCCATGGAATGTAGCCCTTCCATTCAAGGGCTCCTTCTGTTCATGGGATATCCTGGACAAGAATAATGGAGTGGGTTTCCATTTCCTTCTCCAGGGGGTTTTCCTGACTCAGGGATCAAACCTGCATCTCCTGCAGTGGCAGGAGTGTTCTTTACCACCGAGCCACAGGGAAGCCCACAATGGAATATTACTCAGCCATTAAAAAGAATGAAATTGGGTCATTCGTGGAGAGGTGGATGGATCCAGAAACTGTCACATATAGTGAAGCATGTCAGAAAGAGAAAAACAAATATTATACATTAACATATATATGTAGAATCTAGAGAAATGGTACAGATGATCTTATTT